CTTTTCCTTTACAGTGTTCTCATTATTGTAATTCCCTAAAATTCCTAATAATCCCAAAGACTTGAATACTTTTATCACCTTACTGTACTTTCAATCTTTTTTGAAGTTTCTTATGCTATTGCTCTTTTATTTGGAAACTTGATTCTTACCCACTCGATCTGTTAATTGGGGTTTTACCTTCTGAGGTTCTTGGAACTGCTTTTTCTTACCAGCTGACTCTTTGTGCTCTCAACATGCATCTTTACGCTCACCCTCTGCCTTTTCATCTCTCAGTTTATATCATCTCTCTCATTCCTCTTTTCTTCAGCTGCACTGGGCTTGTTTTATTTTGTGCACATAGACGAAAAATGCCCTCATGACAAGAAATGTCACCACTAATCTTATTTTCCATTTCTAGTGTGTATTTTATTAATTTTTTTTTTCATTTCTTAACCTACATAGTGACACAGTGCCAGGCTTATTTCAAGATTTTTAACTCAGTCAACACCAACTGGGATGTGTTAAACTAGGAGAAAAAAAGAAATCAAACAGAATAAGAATTACCGGAAATCAACTGCACTTTCTGGATGAAGAACTTTGGTAATTGAATTGTTATATAGCCACTAGGTGTAGGGAAAGGAATACAGAATGCCCAAGATAAAACTGAGGAGAATTATTGAGTCTGTTAAATTAGATTTGAATTTGCTGCTGTGATAGAACCTATTCCTATAGGAAAGCATCATAGGACTAATCCTGAAAAGAAAATTACTGTCAGTCCTAAAGCTCATTGACAACACAACAGCATTGCCAGATATGTAGCACATTAAGTAACATAACCAAGTGCCTGGTTATGACTGACCATTAGCATCAGGAAACAAACATCGCATATGTATTAGGTTGAGAGTAGCGTTTTTCTTTTTCCCCATGTGTGAATAAGAATGGGCAAACGGAAAGATTTAAAGTTTTTCTGTTTTTGGTATTTTACTGAATAAATTGAGGCTAGCCTGGAATTTTAAAATATCTTGAAAATATATTTTCACTGTTTTCATCACAAGCTAACTCTTTGCACATTTTGGTGTAAACATTTGTTTAAGTAACCCTACACATGTGGGTGTATGCCATAAGGTGAGGGGAAAAAAGAGTGTCAAATAGCATAATTTTCTCCAGAAAGAACTGTTGATTTCTAATGATGAAAAATGAAATTAAGTTTTAAATACAATGAGAAATACTGACTTATGTTGTATCACAACACTGCATTGTAATGATCTTTTCCAAAGCTGGAAGTCGTCCCAACGTAATTCTAGTGTTTCTGAAAAGGATTATTATTATTTATACCTTATAACCTTTCAAAAGAATCTCATATTTTGATGCTTACAGAATATCCTCTACTCACTCAGGTGGTTTAACACAATCCTTGAGGGTCAAATCCCTTCTTGCAGGATGGGTTTGCTGGTCTTCCATAACAATAACAGCTTTGGGTTAGGTTTTGATGTCTTATATCCTAAAAAGAAAGAAGAAGGAGAAAAAGAAGAAGAAGAAGAAAGTTGAGTTTTCATTTTTTAAATAAAAATTATGAAAAATATTGTAATCTAAAAAATGTATAGAGCAAAGAGTTGGGATGAAATTTAAATGTAGTCTTACATAATATGGATAGATTTTATGTAGCTTAGATTCAAAATACTATTAATCTTTTTATCAAGCTGATGAAATATATCTCATCAAAAATATGTTGCCATTTTCTTGTATTTCAATGTAATTTGACTACTTCCACTTCAAAAACCACAGTTGCCTGATGGGTTTTACTAGTTATGTCTTGTGAAAGAGGCGAATTTATGCTAAGGCCATCCCAGTTTCCCTGCATTTATTGAGGATTAGCAACTGATTGGTAGATAAATGATACCCATGGAAAGCTAAGGATACATTGAACTTATAAAGCTATTCTTTTGTTTTGATTTGCAGGGATAGGGTTGGCATCAAAGGCCTGCTGTGTCTGCTTCCAATGCTTTGTACTTTATCAGTATAATCAAGAACGGCTCAAGCCTAAAGTAGCAAGGGAGGAGTCAGGTCCTCAGTTCAGATGCAGTGTTGGAGATGTAGGAGAAAACCCCTACTTGCTCAGGGCTCTGGGCTCCAGCTCCCCTATCGTTACCCTGTACTTTCTCAAATGTTAGAAAAGTACAATTAGAATGACATTCCACATGACTGGTGCACAGGATAACAATGTCGATACAAAGGATAAACAAAACCTGGACCCACATATTTTATGAGAGAATTGGGAGAGAAACACTAGCTAAAGAAAAACAACATATAGCTTTTATTACATGCTGAATACTGAGAAAAATAGAACATTTTCTTATACATTAAATTGCAGAAGTAGATATTTAGAACAATTTTGAAGTCATTGTTGATGATGGGAACAAATAGGTAGTGTTTTTTATATATATATTTTTTTTTTTTTCATTTTCTCCAAACTGGTAAATGTTTTCTATCCCTTCTCAGCTGATGATATTGCCTTTTAGATGATTGAGGATGACTTCCTTCTAGGAGTTCAGATTATAATATAATATTTATATAAGACATTATAATTCACAAATACCTTCACATTCACTGTCTACTTAGTATGGGCTTTATTGTGTGTGTTGTGCATTTTATTCCTTAATATTTAAGGACTAAAAGGAAGACATAGTTTAGTATTCCCCATCTTACTTCACACTGTTTTCTGTAAACCAAATTTTTGATCCCATGAAAAACTCCAGAGCTAGACACCAAAAAGAAAATAAAAGGACTAATCAATTTGAATAGGTAATAAATTTTGTTTCTGAATGGGAGAAACATAAAACCCATATGGAATGATGAGGAGAATAATGATGTGACGGTATATGATTTTTGAATTGCTATCTATTCTTTTAAATTTCTTTGTCCTAATGAAACTTTTTTCATTCAGACAGCTAAGCATTTAGTGTTTTTGCTTCAAGAAGGGATGAGATCACAGAAAGTAAAGAAAACAAAGCACATTACTTCTTGAGTTCTGATATTCAAATTGCCAGTTCACATTAAGAGCCAAGAATTATGGTTCTTTTTTTTTTAAGATGTTATGTATTTATTTTGAGAGAGAGAGAGAGAGAGAAAGCAGGGGGAGGGGCAGAGGCAGAGGAAGAGAGAGAATCTCACGCAGACTCCATGCTGAGCATGGAGACCAACGCAGGGCTCCATCTCAGGACCCTGAGATCATGACCTGAGCCAAAATCAAGAGTCTGATGCTTAACAGACTGAGCCCCCCAGGTGCCCCATGGTTCATTTTTATATCCTACACTCCAAGAAGAAAAACAGAATTGGAAGAGAAATAATGTGTATCACAAAAGATTAAGTGAATGCGTAGATACAAAGATAGGGTGGATCCCAAACAAGAAGCTTTCAGAGCCATTGCTTGCCAGGAATGGGCTTGGGTAGAGCACTGAGGTTTCAGGGCAATTTGAGGGCATAGATGACCTGCCCTTCCCTTTCTGTACAAAGTTCAGATAGCATCAGGACAGAGGGGAAGTGGCTGTGAGGTATGTCTAGTCAGGGAGAAACAGATAGGGAGCAAAGTAGTTCACGCACTCCAGTGAAGTTTCCAAATAACAGAATGAACTCATTTGTCTCTGGCCAGCTTATATTAGTAATGAGTGAAAAGGGGTTTCTGAAGAGACCATGTAATTGGGAACAGGGGTGGTTTAATTTTCTCTATAGGTAGTGATGTTTGTACACCTGATAGAGCTATGTACAGTGAAGTCCCTGCATAGATGGTTCTACGCCACCCCTGGCAGAATGTAATCCCCTTAGGGGTGCCTGGGTGGCTCAGTCGGTTAAGCGTCCACCTTCAGGTCAGGTCATGATCCCAGGGTCCTGGGATCGAGCCCCGCACCGGGCTGCCTGCTCAGCAGGGAGCCTGCTTCTCTCTCTGCCTGCCACTCCCCCTGCTTGCGCTCTCTCTCTCTGTCAAATAAATAAAAGCCTTAAAAAAAGAAAAGAAAAAAGAATGTAATACCCTTAAACCTAACGCAACCCTGGGTATAGTTAGGAGGAGGCCTAGATTGATTGGAACTATGCTTCTATCACTGAGTGGAATAGAGATTAATAAATAGATTTTTTTCTTAAATTAGATTTAGCAGATTAAGGCTGCCCTGTTAAGTAGAAGGCCTCCTTTCCCTGACTAAAGGAGGTTCTAAAGGAGGTTCTTTGGCAACATGGTTGTTAGGCTTGAGAAATTTGGTATTAATTTAAAAGGTTGAAAAATTAAGTGAAACTAAAAATTAAAAACAAAACAACAAAAACCTGTCACATGTGCTGGTTCAGATGAGTTATTAGTTACTTGTATTTAAAATATAATGCTACTTAATATGTGATTACTAGGTTGTAAGTGATTGCTGTGTTGTAACTAAGAAGGAATGGTATAAAATAATGTGTAATTTTGATGACAAATTATTTAAGGCAGCATCTTATTAGTTTTAGTATTTTAATGGGTTTGACTATCAATTGCATACTAATTATGCTTCATAATTCTGAATTTTATCTCTGGTTTATTATGTAGATTTTAATTTCCTATTATGAGTGTAGCCTTTTAACTGTTTCAGAGTGGGTCTTTTTTTTTTTTTCTTCTGTACTTTTGCTAGACTTTCGGTTTTGTTTAACCGTGTTTCAAAAATACATATTAAAATAAATTTTCCTCTTTATACTGGTGCCCTGTTGGCTCATTTGATAGAACATGCAATTCTTCATCTCGTTCAGGGTTGTGAGTTCAAGCCCCACATTAGGAATAGAGTTTACATTAAAAAAAGAAAGAAAGAAAGAAGACACCATTTTAAAATGGGCTATCTGTTACTTCCATGTCTAAGTTATTTTCATTCAGCTTAGCTAATGATACATAATTTTGAGTTTCACAAGCATACCAGTTGGCTTATTTCAGTTGGAGATTAAATTTATAGTAACTTATGGAAACTCAAGGCAATTGACATCATTCAATTACTTGACTCTTCCAACAGCCGCATCTTCTTCATGAGAGAGAATTTGTGTATAATAAGAGCTAAAAAATCTTCAAGTGAAAAAAAAAAATCTTCAAGTGGACCTGGGAAAAATGGATAACAGGTAAATACATGCAGAAGCCTGAATGATCTTTTCAAAATGCAAATGCAATCATATTATTTCCCTCTTAAAAACGTTCTATGGCTTCTCGTGGCATTTAGAATAAAGTGGGGAAAAATATTTACCTTTACCGACAAATCCTGGTAAACAGGACAATGCCTACCTCTCAAACTTCGCCTATGTCTCTTTGTCTCCTTCTGCAGCTTTATTGACTTTTTCAGTTCCTCCAGTGTCTCATGCTCTTTCCTGCTTTAGTGTCTTTTGTATGTACTGCTTCCCATGCTTGAAAGCTTTTCTTCCCGGCTTCTTCAGTCTGGCTTTTACTCATCTTTCAAGTCTCATCTTGAAATATAATTTCTTCTGGGGGCACCTGGGTGGCTCAGTCATTAAGCATCTGCCTTCGGCTCAGGTCATGATCCCGGGGTCCGGGGATCGAGCCCCGCATCGGGCTCTCTGCTCGGCCGGGAGCCTGCTTCTCCCTCTCCCACTCCCCCTGCTTGTGTTCCCTCTCTCGCTGTGTCTCTCTCTGTCAAATAAATAAATAAAAAATCTTAAAAAAAAAAAAAAGAAATATAATTTCTTCTGTTACTCTGGACACTGGAGTGCCATTCTATCATTCTAGACAGAATTATGTAATTTCTCCTGAATAGTACTTTTTCATGGCTTTTTCTATCACCTAGCTCATATCTTGACACATTAAGGGCATTCAAGGAATGCTTATTGACTGAGGGATCATTGGACTTCTGAAGCCTCTCAGACTATATTTCTTAAGTATCAATACATCTTTATGTGAGAGTTACTGAGATCTTTGCTATTTCACTACCTCATCATACTTCATACCCCAGTGACTGTATGCTTCCATTCCAAATTAGTGTTTAGTTGCAAGTTCAAGAGCTTTTGATCTCCAAATTCATTGCTCTAATCTTCAACACTCATTAAAGACTCACCAAGTCTTTAATGTTTTCCCTCTTTCCCCAAGTTCTATCATAAGGGCCGATTGGGAAAGACGGTGCTGGGAAGGAGAAGTTGAGCAGAGCAGCTCAGACATTCCTCTGGAAATTTCCATGTTTATGGCCCTTTGAGATGAGGCAACAGAACATGCTCATTTCAGCCATCAGATAAAGAAACTGCTTCCTAATGTTTTATATCCTGATGTAAATGGGTGAGGAAATATGAGGACGGATAGGAGTAGATTTCTCAGTCTGTAAATTTACCTAAAAGCTTGATGGCAAGCATTACATCATGGGGTATTTATATCTATGGAAAAAGAAACTGCATTTTTTTTCATTATTTTATTTTCTAGTTTAAGTTTCTTTCTCTTGCATAACTCATTGTGCAGTGAGAGTCCCCACGGATCAGTTGGCTGAGCAGCAGTCTGGAAACTCAGGTGCTCTGTAGCCCATCCCCTGCTGGGTTTTTAATGTGCTGTGTAACCTTGAACATGCCTCTTAATATCTCTGTGCTTCAATATCAGGATCTGTAAAAGAGTGGAAAAAAGTATTAAACTTTGGGCATATTTGTGAGGAAAAACTAGTAAGTGTGGTTGAAAAGCACTGTGAAAATATAAAGTCCTGACCATAAGAAAAAGAGAAAATCAGCCAAACCCTAGAATAACTGAGACTGTCCTTCAATGTACTTATAGATGCTGATGGAGAGACTGAGTTTTGATGTGAGGAAAATTTTCCTGACAGTAAGTTGTTAAAATAGGCTACCTCTTTGGCTTATAATATTTCCCTGCTGTTTCACATTTTATTATGACAGTGCCAATCTCTCATCAAAGTATATGTGGAAGCTATAAAATAGAAATTGTCATAACTACAACCAGTTATATGAGACATGGCCAGGCTTTGAGTAAACAGCCTTTGTTAGTGGTCACGTTTTATCTGTACCTCAGATAACTACTAGGCTGGTACTAGCAGAATTTGTCAGGAAAAATAATGGTTTTTTTTCCGTGGCTTTAGAATTTTACAGCTTAAAGTATTGTTCTTTCCAAGAATATTTGCTTAATTAAATACCAATCCAGAAATGGCAAATTGTCGAATTTCAGGCCCTTGAGAATAGGGGAAGAATATTATATCTGTGTACATTTTAGGGGCTACAGGAACCACATCCTATGTAGTCATTTATTTTCTTCTTATTTCCAAATGTATTACCAGATGTATTTAACCTCTTTCTAGAATACATGGGAAGGAGCTGACATCTGATAAGGAATGACCTTCTGGAGGAAAGGATTAAAATAGTGATTTAGGAATTGATGTGGATATGAAATATTGTTTAAGGGGATTCTAAAATATTTGCTTTTAGAAGTCATATAATGATTTCATAGAAACACATTAGTTTCCAGAAATCCACTGTTGTTCTCTTGAACTTTAATATTAAAGTTAATTAGATCTACTTTTTTATAGTTGAAACATCGGTCTCCTGAATGTGTGCATGATCAAAGACCCCACCTTTGAAATCAATGTCTTTGCAGTGATATCTAAGCAAGATTAAAATGTTGCTAATAATATTGAAAGTCTTAATTAAATGTAAAAGCCAATGTAAAAATTCTGTGGCATTACCATATGGTTAAGAGGTTTGCTTTGCATTTTTAAAGATTGTCCTAGATATGTCAATAAACTCTGATGGATGTGCATAATATTTCCATCAATTTATCTGAAGTAAATCTTATGATTCTTACGCAAGAGAAAGGAGCTTGAAGATTGTGAGATCATTTTGGTTTTATCTACAGTTTTTAAGTTGAAATATTTAGTAGTTTTATTTCAAGTTTTTGTCCCTAACTTGTCTGTCCTTGATGAAAAACCTCAAAGAATTTGGAAGCATGATTTCAATAAATTAGTCAATTTGCAGTTTTTCCTAATTGAAATCGAAACTTTTAAGCATACAGCTTTTAATTGTAGCTATAGTATGTTGCATTTGATTGTTTAATTGTTGAACATATAGTGCAGGCCTTTCTTAACATATATTTCACATACAACTTTCAGTTTCTGAGCTATGGTCATATCTTAAATAGATATTAAATTATCTATCCACTCTTGGCCTTGAAGTTTCTTTTTGATATGACCCTTTTCTTTCTGTTTTTGGTTTTTGAATTTATAAAAAGCAGTGGTGGCAAATGCTTTCCTTTGAATTATGGCATGTTTAAAGAAGTTTAATTAATATCCAATACAACATATAGAATTAATAGCATTTTAGGCTCTTCATTTAGTTTTCTTCATGATCACAGTAAGTATATCTTTTTCCAAGAGGAATATACAGTGTTTCCCTTCAGCAGCATAGGTTAAAATGAGAGAATCTTAAAGGAATAATGGAAGAAAAGCAGATCCAATGAAGGCAAGAGCTATATCTTACTTAGAAAACCAGGAGCAAAATTTATAGTGCACTCTTTAAATAATATGTTAGTTTGACTCCTCTTGTGCTATATAATTTCATGCATTTAATGTGAACTTGGGGACTCATTTATATTTAGACCAAGTTAATCTTACCTGCGTCTGTACCAAGTGAAGTTGCTGCAACTTATAGGACAGGCAGGAGAAGCAGTAACTTATTCATATCAGTTCTCTGAGACTAGTTGAATCTTACTGGCTTATCACAAAACATTTGTTTGATATAGTGTGCAAAGCAGCATTTAGTATGTTAAGACTTTCTTGTGTGGCATAAAATCCTATTGGTCATTAATAATATTAAGACTTCTGTAATTCATATGATCACTAAAATTGAAATTACATGCTCTATTCATATTCTGTTCACAAATTATGTGCTCTTTCACAATGGAAAGTGAAGAACTGAAGAACTGACAGTTATTTCCTGGAATATACTCTATTGGCTAAAAAAAAAAGTTAAATAAATATCTTGCCTTCAGATTTCATCTATAGGACAATTCTTTTCCTAAGACCTGTTTTACACATACCTCTCAGTACATCACGATATTTTTCATTTTTTCTTTCTTGGTGAGGATTGACTAGTTAATGTTTACAAAGTATTTTGAAGGTGTAAAGTGCTTTGCAAGTGCTAAACCCAATAAAATGTATTTTATACTGAATCTGAGAGCTGATTTGTGCAGCATCGAGCTTTGTGAGTGAATAGAGCAAAGATGATTAAAATCAACATCATTTGTAATTTAAAATACTGTGAACAACAAAGAAGATCCAACTATGGCTTTCGTTTTGGCAAGCTGCAAATATAGATTGCTGAACAGCGGTAGTCTGTCAATATAAAGCATTTAGCACTTCACTAAGCAGCTTGAGAGTTTTCTACATTAGGAAGAAAAAATATAGATGAAGTCAGATTTGGTGTAACATTATTTTGATGGATTGACTATATCATTATTAAAAAGAAAACTAAAACTCAACAAAATCTAAGAAGAAATAGTCTTTGCTATAGAACTTATCAGCGTGGTGAATGTTCAGAATGAGACTCTCTCCATGAAGGCTCCCCACTCCATTCTAAATGTGCAGAGGGATGATGACAGAAACCAACTGCACAGGTAAACAAAGCACAGAATTCATAAAGAAAGATTGAGAACAGATAAGAGATTGACAGCCACTCATATGAGAAGTTGTTTTGGAATCCAGCTGGGCAGTTTCCACGATCAGTTTAAAAAATGCACAAGATGTTTTATTAAATAATAAATGTTGATTGAGTCCATAAAATATTCTCAGAACTTTGGGGAACACTTTTATTTATTATCTTTATATAATGCCAGTCTTAAAAATAATTTAAGATTGCTCTTAAGGGATATAAAATGAGTAGGACACAAATAATAAACTCATGGAAGAAATAGTTGGGGAACTATAATACAATGCCTAAGTATAATATCTATACTACAAAAGAGAATGTGGAAGTTACATGATTAAGATATTGATTTGATATTTTGGGAATTCAGAGGAAGAGATACTGCATCCATCAGGGGAAACTGAAGAATACTTCTTAAAAAGTGGTGCAGTTTTGCCAATATCTCTTATCTATCTATCTATCTAT